TATATATATATATATATATATATATTGCTAATATTTCATTAATAATAAGATCGGCACAAGACTAATTTCAATTATTTTGAGGGCCCATGAAGTTCAGTTATAGTTTTTTCTGACACCACTTAGTTAAAGAATTGGACTGGAGCAAAAGAATTCCTTCATATCATAGCCGGCAATCTTAAGCTTGAGGCCTATGCCCTGAAAGCAAGACGCCTTTGGTGTATCAACTTCATAATAGTAACTGAATAATTTAACAACCGAAAGAAATCCATGCTAATATCGATTTCTTGCTATTATCCTTAGCCCTTTAGAGACTATTCAGTCAATGGTATTAAAGGGAAGTATTATTAACAGTTTAGCATACCGCATAATACCTTTGATAAGCTCTCAAAAAGCATCTCAAAGAAAAGATCAACTCCAACATTGCCAATATCCCCGCTCTGCTGCTCGCCAAATATGCTTCCAAATCCTCTTATCCCCATGTCCCTCTCAGCCAACTGAAAGCCTTGCCCAAGTTCCTGATATTCCTCAATAGCAGCAAGCCTCTCCTAAGATGGAAAGAAGAAGCCACAATAAATACATACAGTTAGATAAACTATTGGTCAAATGACATGATTTTACAGCATCAAACAATGAAAATGTTACCTCATTATAAGATAAAAATCAATATCACAGGACTACCAATACATTGAATTAGCCAATGAAAGAGAATTACAAACGACTCACCAGAGCTTGCTCTGAGAGCAATGATTTGTCAGGATAAAATAAATATGCATAAGCCACTTTATCGGCCCGGCCAACTCTTCCACGCAACTAAGAAATAAAAAGTTGAAGTTGTTAAATTAAAATGTCAGGAAATAAGGCAAGATAGAATAATATACAGTAAGGAGAAAATTTTCTCCATGCTACCAGAGGTTTGAACAGTGGTCACTTTTACAAACGAAAGAGTGCAGCAGATGACTTGATTATACTTCATGGACAAATTATGTACTGTGCTCAAGGACACTGTTTTTTCAACAAAATAATGTCATTATAGGGGGCACTGGTTCAACAAGATTTAGTTCTTAGGATCAGGACATTTCGCATAAGTGTTTCACTCTTTTTCAAACTAACATACAAATATTAAAAAATTCATGACAACTACGAACCAAACCAACATGCTTTCAATTTTATGCACAAATATCTTTGTCGCTGGACTAGCTCTACCAGTCCAGCTAGTGTACTAAGGATTCACAACCGAGACTTTCTACATCCTTAATCAACAAAAGCGAAAGCCAAAGTGGTAGCCAACCTTTTAATGGGATGACTGCGTGCAGTTTTCCTCCTGCTAAAATAAGACCTAAAAAACTCTTTTTAAAAGTTTAGCCAACGATGATGTGATGGGAAAAAGAGTGCATAACAAAATCAATTCATCAAACAATATTACACATCCGTGGAATGATATTAGCGTTTGATATCAAATTTATAGAGTGACGGAATCAAAATGTTAAATTTTATGGCATGAAACTATATCATCTGAAAATAGATCTGTCCAACCATCAATACAAATAAAAACAGATTTATTTATATATAATTATTGATGAGCCCAATTCAGACGCTTACCTGATACAACTGAGCCAACCCAAACTGTTGGACTTCCTGAATTATTATGGTATTAGCATTTTGGATATTCAACCCATTTTCAACTATGTTTGTAGAGATGAGGACCTTGATATCTCCAAGGGCAAACATTTTCATTGTTTCTTCTAGTTGTTTTGAGTATTGCTGTCAAAAACAACATTATCACTTTTCAGCAGTAAAACAAAAGAGGTCATTGAAGAGATAGAAAATATAAATACAATCAACAATGATTAGTAAGTACTCAAGAAAAAAATTCCGTGCAGAGTAATATTAGATCTGAAAAAAAAAACTTAATGGCAAGCTAAAGCTCTCGTAATGCAAATTTTACAATAATCATTATCCGATCTCAATAGCTCTTTGAGTTAGCAATAATATTAGTACCAGAGTTAGCCAATAATAATGAGAAAAGCAAATATTATTACCAAAATCAAATAGAAAATTACAACCAACCAAATGAAAATAGGGAATAACAAAAAACATGACGCAAGGTATGCGACTAGGGTGAATCTAAAGTGGTTGTGGTGGTTGTTAGGGGCTTGGAAAGTTGGTGGCAAGGTAGGAAAGTGAAGGACCGCTGGTACAGCAGCGAAACAGCGATGCTTTGCTGATTTGGGCAGTGGCAGCAAGGCAGGAGGTGTCGGACAGCAGTAAAATAGGAATGAGAGGAGATTCTGGGCGGCAGAGGCAATGCAGGATGGCTGGAAAAAGATAAAACAGGGCGGCAGCACACAGCAACGATGGCTGGAGAGCCTGTCAATCAATTATATATCATCCAAAAATATGGAATTATTGACCACATTTTAAAAAAATGAGGAAAGGTAATATGAATATAATTAATTATATTTGACCTAGACAAACAAATGAATTTCCAAAGTAGCATCCATTCAGGAGACATTTGTGAATGATGAGCCCTAAATAAGCTTAAATTAAAAGAAACGTTGTATCAATGAGCTGTCATAATTTGACACTAAGAAAAACTAAAGAAAATATGCACGGTTTACAAAAATTATTCAATTAAAACAGACGCCACGTTTGAAGCAAGCAAACCTTCCCATGAGCAATAGCAACCATAACATCTGGAAATGACTGCTCAAGAAATTCCATCACCTCTTCTAAGCCTGCCAAAAATAGCAAAAATTATTGTAGTCTCATATTGTAACTCAATAATCAAAATCATTCTCACGCAGACTGAACCATTTGAGAGTCAAACATGATCTGTAGATGGTAGTTGAGCATGACATAAAAGTTAACATTCTAAACTATTAAATATATTTGGTTGGTACAAAACAAAATATAATCATCAGCAGAGCCTAAGAATAAATTAATCCTACTACAAATACCACGTCATATAATTAATACAGATTTCGGCCAATTCTGTTATGACAGAACAGTATGAACCCAACATCAATCATGCAAGGATGAAAGATAGATTACACTTGATTTGCAAACTGCAGCTTCTAAACATTTCAAAATAAAAAAAAAGCATTCACGATATGATGTGATTTAACACAACCATAGTTTTTATTATATGTTCATCTCCCATGCATGATGCTGTCAGAAAGTGATAAATTCCAATAACATATTAGCACAAAATAATCTGAAAATATCGCACAAAGTTTTTTTAAAAAAAAGTTATCCACCAAAAGTGGAAAAAAAATAATTACCTTTAATTCGAGGAAGAACATAGAAAACTTGACCACCACGGTCTAGCTCAAATTTGATTGCAGATAGAACCTTTTCTTTACAATAGGCTGAGAGGTGAGTCTTTATAGGAACTCTTTCTGGGGGTGGTGTTGAAATTAAACTGAAATAGAATCAGGATGAGGAATGTCGGACAAATAAAAGAACCTAGTTTAAAATACATTTAAAGAAAAAGCTTTCGAGACACTCTAGTTGAATGAAATAAACAAACACGCTACAACAACAAAGCCTTAATTCCACCATGTGGGGTCGGCAACATGAATCCTTTTTCTCCATTGAGTCCTAATTAGTGTCATATTTTCATTTAGCTCTAATAAATTAAGATCATTTTTTTATACAAACACGCTAAGGAATATAATTTTAAAACCCTTCTTTAATGTATTTATCCACTTACTATTAAGAGTTTATCGTGTTTGTATTTTGCTTAAGCAGCAAAAGTCCTTTGAAATATGAAAAGAAAGGACATCCAAAATGAATTAAAAATACATGTGGATCATATGTACAGAAATTTAATAGAAATCAGGGTGAAAATTGCACAATAATGAGGACTCAGGCAGTCGTGCTTGAAGGAGCCCTTATTTAACAAAAAGTGCAGGCATGCATAATTTAGAGACCAAATAATGATGTTGACGTACATCAAAATCATTCTAGCATTTTCTAGATCACTTGAAATTTCATTGTTAGTGTTAACTTCTTTCGATGATAGGATTTTTGGGACTTATCGTATATAATTTTCAAAAAGTTTCATCTTATCTAATAACTGAACTTCTATAAATAGAGATTCAAATCCTTGTTATGTAATTATTCATTAAAGAATAAATTTGAATCAAGATTCTACCCTACTCCACCACCCATCCCCCCCACCCCCGGGTTCCAATGGGTGGGAGGATCGGGGATTTTAAATGCACAGGATTGGGCCGAAACAAGGGGAATGAGCTATGCAAGGGTATAAACAATGCGAAGAAGGAATGAGAGAAGTCGAGATGGGTATGAAAAAGGAGTGATTTTCACCCTAAATACATGGGGGGACCCACTATAGGGCAAGGAAGTTGGGATGGAGATGCTAGAGTTAGAAAATTGAAGATTTCGAAGGATAGCTCTTTAGCCACTACATTATTAGGTGTTAATCATAATTTTGTTCATTCTTAAATAATTAATTCTAATATAATTGATCATATGACTGGTTGTTCAAAATTATGCTCATTCTAAAAACTTGTGCAGGCAATAAATACTTCAAAACTATCGATAGTTCTCTCTCAATAATTATTGGGATAGAAACTATCAAACTCACGTCATTATTAACCTTTTGCAACATGTTGCATGTTCTGGATTTGTCTTGTAATTTATTGTTCATTAGTAAAATTACTTCTAATTATCAGTGTCAAACTAATTTATAATCTTCTTATTGTGATTTTCAAGAATTGACCACTGGGTGATGATTGGCAATGCTAAATAAATGGGCTATTATTTGACAATCAACTTGATGTGAATAGACAAAGTCAAATTACTTAATTTGATTATGGGTTTGTTTCCTAAATCAGTGATAATATGTTATGACATTATAGGTTAGGTCATCCTAATTTTCAGTATTTAAAATTTTTGTTTCCCAATTTATTTCAGAATAAAAATTTATCATCTTTCCAATATGAAATTTGTGTGAAACATCATCTTAAGTTCTTTTCTCTCCAAACTTACTAACGAGTTACACCATTTACTCTGATTCATAATGACATGTGCGCTCCATGTAAACATACTCTCAAAAAAATGATTTGTGAGCTTTACTGATAATCAAACAATATTAAATTTGGTGTGTTTAATGAAAAAAAAAACTGAAGTGAAAATAATTTTTAAAAGCTTCTACACCATGATACATACACAATTTCAAAAAAACTATGCAAATATTACGGACTGATAATGACCAAGATTATTTAAAAAATATTTTTAGTTAATTTTTTCCAAAAAAATAAATAGTTCATCAAAGCTACTATGTCAACACTCCACAACAAAATAGATGGATAAAAGAAAAAACAAAAAATTAATGGAAGCAGCTAGAACATTGTTATTTATAAATCAGGTGTCAAAATATCTTTGGATTGAAGCAGTTCTTACTGCTACATTCTTCGTCAATAGAACAGCCAATTGAACATTGAAACATGTTTTGATATTTATCGTAAAATTTACCCAACAAATTGGCTCTCGCCTTCCTTACCTCCAAAGATATTTGGGTGTATTGCATTTGTTCACATTCATAATCATAATTAATAAAAACTTGAACCCCAAGCCAAGTTATGTTCCTACCAAAAAGGGGTATAAATGTTTTGATTATATTTCTAAGAAAATATTTATTACTAGGATGTTGCCTACAATCATTTTTTAAACCTCGTCTTCAAGAGGGCAAAACAAAGAATCGACTAATACTTTTCAGAATTTTCTTCAAAACAAAAACTCACAAAATAATATCTCTTCAATCTTGATTGTTCAGCCAAGAAATTCAAGCTATATTCTATATCAGGAGAAAGTGGGTCGAGTTTTTTAGATATTGAAGAAAATTCAAATCTTTCTACATTGTCATCTCACGATGTTCATAATCATATATTAACTAAAGAAGAGGAAAGAAGAAAATGAACTTCGAAATTGGTGCTGTTTGACATTGTCTACTCAAGACATATGATAACTCAAAAGAAAGAATCTACGGATCATTTGCACTATCAAGGATCCATGAACCCTCCAAGTCCAATTCTCACTAAGCATTTACCCCATGATCGGTCCAGTTCACCTTCGAGTTTTGAGTCTTTTAGTCCTAGACCTTAGTCTAGCCTTAATCCTAAATCTAATGATCTTGATCTTCCCATGACTATTTGTAAGGGGGTGAGGTCTAGCACCCAATATTCATTGTCTCATTATGTGTTTTTTGGGCCTTTATCTCACATTTGCTTTGTATGGAGATTCCAAACATTGTGTAGGATGCTCTAAAAGTTCCCAAGTTGAAGGAGGAAATAAGAACTCTTAAAAAAATGGCATGTGGGAATTGGTCGATCTACCTAGAGAGAAGAAAAGTGTCGGATGCAAATGGGTGTTTATAGTCAAGTATAATTATGATAACTCTCTAAAACAGTACAAAGCTCGATTGGTTGCCAAGAGATTTAATCAGATCTATGGCATTGATTACTTAGGGGCATTCGCCCATGTAGCAAAATTAAAGTCTAAAAGTACTTTTGTCACTTATAGCTAATCTTGACCAACCCCTACAGCAATTGAATATTAAAAATGCATTTCTCAATGAAAACTTAGAGGAAGAAGCATATATGGATACACCTCTAGAATTTAGTGAAAAGTTAGACATAAAAATGTGTATACTAAAAAAGTCCTTATACGAGTTGAAGCAGTCACTAAGAGTGTGGCTTGATAAATTTATATTGTTCATTAAAGGTCATAGCGATATTTGGGGTATTTCCTTGACACCAAGGTTACTAGATTAAAGAAAGTGATAGTTTTTTTCCCAACGGAAGTATGTTCTTGATCTTCTAAAGGAAAGTGGGATGAGAGATTGTAAATCTACAGACACTCCAATTGATCCCAATCAGAAATTAGGAGACGAGAAGTGACCTAGAGAATACAGCTTGATATCAAAAGTTGGTGATAAAATTGATATACTTATCACATACACTGTCAAATATCACCTTTATTGTAACTTTGATAAGTCAATTTATGCAATAACCCAATGAGAAACATATTGAAGCAGTTAATAGGGTTCTCAGATGCATAAAATGTACACCAAACAAGAGCGTACGCTTTCATAAGATCACAAAACATAACATAAAGGCATAAACTGATGCATTACGCGGGCTTGGTTGTTTACAAGACATCGACGTTCGAATCTTGTACTTATGTCTAAGGAAATCTGGTTACATGGCAAAGCAAGAAACATAATGCGGTAACGAAAAGTAATGTCGATGTAGAATATCAAGATATGGCTAATATGGAGTATGTGAGATGTTATGGCTGAAGAAAATTCTTGAAGTATTATGGATCCTAATAAATGTGTCAATGAAGTTGTATTGTGATAATAAAACTGTCATAAGCATTGCAGAAAATCCAGTACAACCTGATCGCACAAAACATGTGGAGATTGATAGACACTTCATAGAGCAGAAGATTGATTGTGAAACTATTTGCATATCTTTTACTCTAACAGCGCAACAAATAGCAGATATCTTCATCAAAAAACTTTTCAAGCCTAGTTTTCAGTTGCTTGTAAGCAAGTTGAACGTGATAGATATTTAGGCTCCAACTCGAGGGGTTGTTAGAATGTTAGAAATGTCTAATTTTTAAATCTTCTATTTTTATTATTTTCTATTTTTAGTAGCTTCTATTTTAGAATTATCTAACGCTAGTAACTCTTATTTTCTTTTATTTTCCTCTTTTCTAGCCTGAGATATTTGTGGTTGATTTTGTGGCTTTCCTAATGTGGTGGTCTTCCTTGATATTTATCTTGTAATCGAGTCTCAAGAAATTGAGAAAAAATTAATATCTTCCCCCTAAAAACTACAAGAACCACTCTCCTACAACTCAAAGGCCAACATGCGAAAGAAGCCCTCATTGACTTCACCACATATATTTTCCAAATTTTATAAGAACTTTACCAATACAATGTTGCAAAATTTAGGGAAATTTTCCAAAAACGCAGTAGCTTAACCCTGAAGGGTTTGTTTGACCTTTTAGGAAGACTGTTACACAGTCCAGTGAATAAAAAATCTTCCCCATAATGTGCTTTGTGCAGGAGCACATTTTATCTATTTATTTGATTTGATTTACAACATTTCAAATTTTTGCACAATATCTATTAATTAGTGCTTTTTTGTTTTGATGGATCCTTGTCGATGATTGGTGTAAAATTTGTGAAAGGATAATATAAAAATAAGTAAGATATTGTTGGAACACCAAACTGATACTATATTTAGTGGAAGAAAACAAATTTGTAGAGTTACCTAGCATCACGGAACCCAGTCAAAGCCAAGTAAAGCGTTCGGGGAATAGGTGTGGCAGAAAGAGTGAGAACATCAACTGAAGTTTTCAATGATGCTATCTTCTCTTTCTGCTTTACGCCAAACCTCTGTCAATCAAAAACTAGAGATATGAAAATCAGTCAGCCTCCATGTTCAACACAATCACTTCAATAATATGGAAACTAAGCAAAAGTTTCTGCACTGCAGTAATGTGAACAGTAAGAAATGGTAGAACATCAATACATGTTGCAACAAGTTTGTAGTGTGCAACATGACTGAAGTACAATTACGTATGCACTTCACAAAGAAAACTATATAGTTATTTTGATTTTAAATTGCAATTCTAGTAATTTTTTTAGCTTGGCCTAAAATGATTATCAATTAAAACAGCAATTGACAATGAAATAAAGGGAAATTTACATACCTGCCACACAATTCTTATATATTTACAAATCTCACACCTAAACTTCCATATTTACATACATAATACTTTGGTGCTTTAAACCTATGCATGAAAAGGAGTATTTTAAATTTAAAAATTGTAAATATGAAAGTTTAGGTGTGAAATATGTAAAATACATAAGAATTGCGTGCTATGTATGTAAATGCCCCTAAAATAAATTTGCTGATATCCTTATTTACACTACAAACAACCATGTTTTTGCACTTTTTCATTGTTTATACGGTATCTTCATTTGCTGACAACCATGAGGATATTCATCAACTCCTTACTGATCAATATTACAAGGTTTTTAGTCAATAAGCTTGATGGTTTAAAGCGAGATCCAAATAGAAAATTCACTAATGTACCACAAAGGAGCAACTAGGAGCCCAAATATCGCATCTAATTATGGAACTTAAGAACAAGAAGAAGAATATGATCACCAAAAAGACAGCAGTAGACTTCAACATTGAGCAAAGTTCAAGTTACTAATCAAAAACCAGATTCAAGCGGTTTAATAAAAGAATTAATTAATAAGCACTAAAAATTAAGGACTGATATTTAGAACATACAGCCAAGAATCAATTAAGCAGTCAAAAGATTCCATGAAAGAAAAAGAAATAAAATTCCTTTCTCAATAAGCCAACAGTTCGAGGTATCAGAATATAAATTGCTAAAAATTTAAGTAAAGAAACCAATTAATTGTTTCTAGCTATTTTACATGTTTGACTAGATAATATGATAATAGCAAACAGTCTCAAAAGGTTTCATGGCGTCGTAGATAAAGGAAAACCTGTTCCTCATCAACGATGAGAAGGCCGAGATTGCTGTAAACCACGCGATCGCCAAGAAGTGCATGAGTTCCAACAATTATGTCCAAATCCCCATTCTTGATCAATGAAAGATGTTCCTCTTTCTCCGACTTCGTCTGAAAAATAAATCAAATTTAGCTTGAAGATATGAACATGGAATAAAAAGTTGTGAGAACGATTTGTATTGATGTGGCTATGCATTATCTGCCAATGTGACAACTCTAGGTAACTCCAAACATTCATGATAATTACAGCTTATATATCCTCATTATAAGTGCAATGAGAAATCATAAGGCCCATAGCAATAAAATCAAGGTCAATTAAACACCTTTTAGTATTTTTCCATTTATGGCATCATGACAGTCATCAACAATCATAGCTTCCATGATTTAAAGCTTCTATTTCACAATAGCACGATGGTGGAGACTAGAAATCCTTTAAAGGCGATATTCCTCTCCAATATACCAAGTCAAAATTATTTGACTACATCTATATATCTATATATTTTATATGAATATTGTCAAGTCATATTGAGAGAGAATATTTTGCATAAAACTCCAAAATAACAAGCGATGCGGGCACGTCCGCCAAAGCCACTGGATCCCAAATCCAGTGACTCCCGATCACAAGAATTACGTGATTGGAATCGGGAGTTCCATGGCCCTAGGAAGACCGAATAGGAACTTTTCATTCGGTTAAAAATATCCACAGGAATCCTTGCTATTTTGACTTATTTCAAATTTCATTTTTCTCTAGTTTGAGTTATTTTCTACTATGTATCTATTTGTCTTGTCTTTCTCTGTTGAAGGGACTTTTGGGTGGTATGTCTGTAACCTGAAAAGATTGAGGTGGTGATCTCTTCCGGATGTTTGTAGGCCTCTTTCGTCATCCAACTTATCGTACACAGCTGTTCACAGCAGAGAACCCACAGTTTTTCGTTGGAGGGACTTTTGACTTGGCTTATTTATTTTGGAAATGTCTCTCCTAGTTTTCTCTATGGAGTGTTGTATCCTTGGATTTTCTTTCAAGTAGTGTGTCCGTAGCCTATAGGATTGAGGTAGTGATCTCTCCCGGATGTTCGAAGACCTCCTTCGTAACTTGCTGTAAGGTGCTGTTTGCAGCAGGAAACTCACTGTTTTCAATTCTGGTTCGCTGTCCAATCGCTCGTACCTTGCCGATTCATCATTTGGCTGTAGTTTTAAGTTCGAACAGCAGTTGAACTCATCCCACCTGCTGTCCCACTGCATATTTCACTTCCTACAGTCTTCCCAACGCTGCCGCCTGCTGTTTACAACCGTAAACCACCTCTTTCCTACTTCCAGTTCACAGTTCCATCACCATTCACACCAGTTTTCAGCCTCCATCCACCCTCACCACTCATGTAATCAATCCTATAACTTTTTCAACACCTTGTGTGTTATCATGCCATCTGAAAACCCTAGAACAGTATCAATTGGTATCAAAGCCCGAAAAAGTTTAAGATTTTTTATGATTTTGTCTTTATATGTCCCAATCCAAAATTCCAAATAATAATAATAATAATTCTAGAATTCCTATCGTAATTCCTACCGTAATTCCTAGAACCAACAACAACAACAACAAAACCTTCGTCCCATTAAGTGGGGTCGGCGACATGAATCCTTTTTCTCCATTGAGTCCTATCTAGTGTCATATTTTCATTTAATTCTAATAAATTAAGATCATTTTTTTATACAATATGCCCAAGTCATCCTAGGTCTACCTCTGCCTTTCTTAACATAAATCGAATCTAAAACATCTATTCATCTAATTGGATCATCATATGGTCGACGTTTAATGTGACCAAACCATTTAAGACGACTCTCTAATTTTGTCCGTTACTGGAGCTACACCAAATCTATCACGGATATATTCATTTCGCATTTTGTCTTTAAATGTAAAGGCACTCATCCACCATAATTCCAAGACTCAATCCTAAAATTTCAAAAGCCAATTTCCCCACCTCTACTGAAAATTTCATCCCGACACCTACATCAAAAACCTAAGCCCCCGACTAACATTGATTTACAATCCTACAATCGTCAAATGCCTGATCGGGAGAAAAGAATGTCATGTCGCCAATGAGAAACCCTTAACGAGATGTCCAAGAACTTACTATAGATTATCTGCAACAAAAAATCTTCCAACTGCAGAAGAGGTTTGTCAAAATTGAGAGAAGCAATTTGATGAAATCACCTGTACTCATAATGATGATTCGTCAGATTGAGATGAGGAAATGAATCCCAATGAATCCCTTCCACCATGCAGTTTCAATGATGACAAACCAATACTCCAATAATTTAATCATATCGGAGAAGCTAGGATTTTGGAGTGAAGATTGACGTGTCAAATTTTGACGGGCACTTGGGTGTGGACTAGTTTATCTAGTGGCTCTAGAGAGTGGAACGGGTCTTTGAAAAAAATGATATCCCACATGATAGAATGATAAAAGCTAGCCACAATGAGCTAAAGAAAAGGGCATCTCCGCGTGAGATAACTAAAACTTACTCGATAGCAGAAAGGGAAAAACAAAATTACTATGTGATCGAAGATAAAATGGGGATGCAGGCAACTACCTTCCTTCGCATTACCTACAAGATATGTTCGTAAGACTTCATTTGTCTCCATTATCTAAGAGATTCTTCTATGGAGTACATGGATGAGTTAGAGCATCTTATGTTGAAACGTCGGCCATTGGTGCTTAAGGAGAACACCCTAGCTCAATATATGAGAGGATTGAGACATTCCATTGGAATGTGGTACTTTTACAACCCTACTGGACATTCCAGGATGTTCAGATCATAGTTTTGAAGGTGGTAAAACATCATCACCAGGTGACCGGCACACCTTATAGAAAGAGTTCAGCCCCAAGATCAGATAGCAATAGTAAACCCAGTGGAGCAACAGAGTCAACCCAGTATAAAGAAAAATTAATCCAAAATGGAAAAAAGGTGGAGCCCGCCAACACTATCAAATTTATCATCACCAGTAATACTTTAAGAGTTACCATGTTTTCCATGCGGTGTCTAACTGATTAAATATAAGTAAAATCTCTTTCACTGAGCAGAGAGCCATTGAAAAAATGGACAGTAACATAAGTGAGAATCAAGACGTAAAAAATGAGCCTCAATTTTCAGATGATGAGGGAGAAATGCTAGTAATTCAAGATGAGACAAGAGGGAGCTCACAATAGAATTAGCATTAATTCTCCTATAAGATAGTGAGTCAGAGTAAACGACACCTAAAAAAAGACGGCGCTTGTTGAGAGAGTTGTTGCAGGTCATGACTTACAATTTACCTCCTGGATGGCTACCATCGAGAGAGATTCAGCACGACGTAAATCTCACACTTGATGGTTAGGACTAAATTCATGGGAGTACTAGCCCAGATGCAGCCGACTCTAATTATGCCAAAAAAGGATGGTTATTAATTCTATCAAGAGAGACTTTGAAAAAAGATGTGTGTTTCAGAGTTATTCTGAATAAACGTGACATAGACTTCGTTGTGGAGCTCTCCCAATTATAACAGTACAATGACTCTGTTATGATGGTAGATCGATTCCAGAGCTTCCTGGGAAGAAGATGAAGCTCTTCCTACCAAGAAGAATGATGTGGGAGCGTCCGTCGAAGTCATGGGAGTGGGGATCCCATGACTCCTGATCGCAAAAACTATGTGATTATAATAATGAAAATGGGAATTTTGCGACCCTAGGAAACGGAATAGGAACTTTTAGTGCGATTGGAAGCATTTATGAAAATTCTTGCTATTTTGACTTATTTCCTTTTCCTTTTTTTTTTTGGTCTAATTTGGGTCATTTCTAATAGAAACATATTCATGTGTTCTTTTTTTTTCTGTTGGTGAGATTTTTGGCTTGATTTATGTATTTTGGAGATGTTTCTCATGATTTTCTCTATTGGAGTGTTGAAACTTTGGATTTTCTTTCAGGTGGTGCATTTGTAGCCCAATAGAATCGAGGTGGTGATCTTTCTCAGGAGATTAGAGACCTCCATCATCCAAATTGTTGTAAATAGATGTTCACAGCAGAAAACCCATTGTTTTTTGTTTTGTTCTGATTTGTTGTCCAGCTTCTTGTACCTCTTTGGTTTGTCATTTTGATGTTATTTTCGGTCCGAACAGCCATCAAACATCGCCCCGCTTGTTGATACACTGCATATTTCACACGTGCACACGCACGCACCCACACACCCACACCCACGCCCACACGCACGAAGGCAAGCACACACACGCATGCACTCACGTGCAAGCGCTCCCACACACCACAAACGCACAAATACAAGTGTGTGCACCCATGCACCACACACCAACGCACGCACATACCAATACCCACGCACGCACACACGTACCCACGCACACGCACGTGCACACACATCCCCACCCAAGCAGGCACACTCACCCACCCACACACGCACACGTGCATGCACACACCAGCACACCAACGCACACCCACACCCACCCACACACCCTCACCGCCACCTCCGCACGTGTGCGCACCCACACACGCACACACACAAATAATTAATTAGTTATTATATAACGATGATAATATACTAATAGATAATAAAAACTTTTGTAAATTTGGTTTAATTATTATTTAATAATTTACTAACATATCATCATTATAAGCTCCTAAAAAAAATCAAAGCAATTGCAATCTATTTATTTATATTTTTTTTAATTCAATTTGATACAATTTAAAATACTATACATAAATTAAAATTAGAAATTTAATTTTAAGAAAATGTTGTGCTTAAAGGTTAAAGCTATGAATAAAGAAAAAGTAAAAAAAAATATAATCATAAATAATTTCTTAATTATGTTCTTTTAAATTAGAGTATACCATAATGCCATTAACATCATAATGAGAACAAAGCCATATAAAAAGAATGAGCTAAGAAAGTTATCTTTGATATAATGGGATTAAGGAGGACCCCTAATGACAGACTAGAATAATTCTTATAATGAATGAAACATCCTAGTTATTGTGTAAATAAAAATGCGCAAAGACACTCGCATAAAGAGAATAGCTAGTAAAACACATTTAAGAACAAGAAAAAAAAAAGCGTAGGGCACAAAACTGCTAACCAAAAATAACATTCAATCAAACATTTTCCTTCAAATCAATCATAACCAAAAACTACTTAACAGACAAACATGGTTATGTCATTACCTGAAACCTACATAACAGGCCAACATGGATATGAGGATAACTACCAAAGCGTTCTGAAATGACATCGAAGTGCTGTTTGGCAAGAACAATAGTTGGCGCCAGAACCATTGCTTGCTTGCCAGCAGAGACGACAATAAAGATGGCACGCAATGCGACTTCCGTTTTACCAAAACCAACATCTCCACAAATAAGCCTGTCCATTGGAGTTTCTCTTTCTGTCAAGTCTTTCTCAACATCAAGAAAAGCCTGTCAGGACAACCCACATAAATCAATTGTGATAGGATTGGTCATAGAATTATGAACGGTGAATACTTGGTTGTTAAAAAATATAGTAAGAACAATTAAGACTCATCAAAGTAACCGCATTCAATGTGAGATTTTAAAAAAAAATTCCTCCTACTTGTATATATGGAAACAAGTGCTCCGAAAACTTGTCAGCCTCAAAGTTGTTTTCATTATAGTATCAAGAGAAGTTGACAAAATTTTCAAAAAGAAATCATTTGCAATAAGCGCCCAAAGGAAACTGGAAATGCTTGTAAGAGCGAAAAAAACTGTGGGACGTGTGACCCATGATGAAATAAAGTTTGAGGAAATTAACAATACTCATTGGAACACGGTTGAGATTTTGGTCCAGAATTGTAGTTAGAAATGCATGTGTTCGATATTCCAACACATTAAAAATATCAAGCGTGGTATTACACTTCATGTTTACATACACAAAAAACAAATCAAGCGTGGTATTACACTTCATGTTTACATACACAAAAATAAAATAGCCCCGGTTCTTTCTTCCTTAGTTTTCAAAATAATGCAAATAAGTTTAAAAAGTATGATGTACGTAATATCTGATAATAAAACTAATTATTGACTTAAACGTTAAAATTTAAACAGAGCCCAAGCTCTTAAAGCTCTTCCCCAATCCTCGATGAGTATGTTAGAAGCTAAATTTAGACGCTCCTTCCTAATAAAAGCCTTACCATCAAAGAGACAAAAATCTAAAACGAAAATTTTTACATTGTAATTATCTCCATAAGATAAGAAAATGTAATATCCATATAACATTAAAGCTAGGTTTAAACAAAGTAGAAATTTTCAGATAATTATTCATAGAAGCTTCGTTCTGATATAGCTTGTCTTGAATATTTTCCACTGCCATTAAAAAACTGACAAGTGTGAGAAAGAGTAGCAATAGCAGCTTGAACCATCATCTTATAGATATATGTACAATATGATAAGCAGCACTGAGGGATTTCTAGCTTGGTACTGTTATGATCTTCACTATCGCTTTAGCATTAAGCTTCTAGGTCAGGCATGAAAGTTTAGAAAAATGAATTCTCCTATTTTTAAATATTAGTATGACCCTGCCCTTTCTCATCTGCCTATATCTAAAAATTAAACAACAGCAATGCAATAAGTTTTCCATGCTCAAGACAATGTGCGTGAGTGTTAAAGCAACTTTTTTATGAATGAAAGTTTGTAATGAAGAACCAGAAACCAATCAAGAAAAAGGACATCAAAGAAAATAATTTTCTTTGATGTGGTACCTGTTGCTGATCATGGGTGGGATCATAAGGAAACTGAGATACAAACTCAGCCATGTCTAGAGTTTTTTTATACAAGAGCCTCTTCTGCTTCAACCTGTGTAGATAGAGTTCCATCAAGTCAACAACCATTTTCTGAACAGCAACCTTTCCCTTAATCCTTCTCCGCTCCCACGCACTAGTGTCGTTCAGTTTGCTCAAGGCCCGTGGTTTTCTGGTTTCATTGGGACTGCAGCAAGCACAATTTCATAAAATTCCATTTCGATGTGCAAACCTCCAGCAATTCAAGCAATATGATACTAAAAAAATTTTTTCAGCAATCTGCAAGCTTCAACAATATACAAGTAATGAACAGATAAAAGTAAAACAGAAAATAATAATAATAATCCGATGTTGGATGAGCTAGATAAGCTCATTTTTTATAAATGGTAAACATTATTGAAACCTTCATACATTAAAGGACCAGATTAGCCCATTTATAATGATTTGGAACAACAAGTTTCATTCAATTTTTTAATACCATACGCTAAACCAACTTTATAAGAAAAAAGGACATATAATTGGTTTTTTTTTTTTTTTTTTTTTTTTTAAGGGGGGGGGGGGGGGGGGGTGGATGAGGGGGAGAGATCAAATTGCTTTACAATTGTGGCAAGTTTTAACACTATATTACCTGTATTTCTCATTAAAGAAAATAAAAAAATAGAAACAGAATCCATTCCAAATAGTCAGCAGATATTACGGAACTGTGAACTTATAGCCACTCATGCACTTACGTGGCGAATGTTTTTAAAGATAAAGTTGCAAAAATCTTCTGATTTGGAAGAACAATTCCTTTATCAAATAAAATAACAATGGCTCTTAGGTCCTTTATTGATTCCAATAAATCAAACACTCAGCAAAAACGAATCCGCTAAAGCCTCCACCCTCGCCCCCATCTTTCACGAAGAATACCTAACACCTTAGACAACAATCAGTGTAAAAAATATCCCGCCTCTTCTCCATACTTGTGGTTTGAATAAGTATAAAGGTAGAACATCACTTAATCGTCTGTCTTGTCTCCTCCAAGCAGCCAAATAGTCCCATCTGTCTTCGTCTTTTGACTAATAGCTCCCCCTCTCAAAACTTTCAATGCCATCTCTCCTACATTAAGCTTGTCTCCTTTCTCTAGAGGACATCATCTTTCCCATTTTTTATTCCCTTTTCTATTGCCTCATATATGCATCTTGCTTCTAATCAAAACAATGAAGTTGAACTTTATCATTATTTTATCATTGCCTTGATCCTTGTTGTGAATCTCTTGAATCATTTCATTATTTAGATAAAAAGCAAAAAAGTGAGTTCTTAATATAATCAAGCTATTGCTTGATTTAAGTTATAGTTATATGTATGGTAACATAAATAAATTTTATGACAGGATTACATGATTAAATTAAATACATAAGACTTTATTTCATAAGGATAATGATTGGCATAGGTTGTACTACTTTGATGAAATATTGACTTTCAACATCATTAACTAAGGTTTAATTTCCAAATAAGCTAAATGTTAGGTTATGGTTTCCAGCTTTATTACATGCACACAAAAAAAAAATGGTTTTATTATGTGGTAAACTAGGTTAATTATGTTGTGTCTCTTTCAATGTCTATTAGTTTAAATGCTTATATTTGTGTACTAGTGATTTATTAAATCTTTGTTTAGGGCATTCGAGTTAATAATTGACTCATATTATTTATTTTATATCCTAAAGGAGTATGGTTTGAGTGTTGCAACTCAAGGTAAATAATTTTAATTTGTTAAAGAGTAGTTATACCTTCTTCGTTAAAAGTGTTTTTTTTATGCTCATAATATACCCTTAAATATTTTATAAATTGCTAATTGTGCCTTCCAAAATCAGAAATTATTATACATATTTTAGTAGATAGTATTTAATTTTCACAATGGAATAATAATGTGATGTAGACTGTTTTGTCTTGATTTTAACTGCAGCAAATTTCTTAAGATGTACATTGTTTCTATTAAATCTAAAAATTGTATTCATACAAATCATATTCTATCATAAAATTAGCATTAGCTAAGTTGATTATAAATTGCCTATAAAATAATTGCTCATTATAAATGCAAAATATATATGTTGATTTGCAATAGATATGTAGTTGGTAAAACCATTTTAAGGTATTGGCTGGTCGGGCTGACAGACAAACAAGAAAATCACTAGAATTCAATGAGTTGATGCTTGTCTTTCAAGTTTTTGAATACAACAACAACAACAACAACAACAAAACCTTAATCCCACTACATGGGGTCGGCTACATGAATCCTTTTTCTCCATTGCGTCCTATTTAGTGTCATATTTTCATTTAGTTCTAGTAAATTAAGATCATTTTTAATACAATAAGCC